CTCTACTTGATTGAACTGAAGATGAACATACTGAAGTTCAATTTGAGTGAAAGATAAAGCCAGCTGATGGGAGCAATCTCTTCTATGAACGGCCCCTTCATAAATCATGTTTTGATTCAACGCTTGATAACACTTTTTCTGCTACTGATTCTTCACGTGTGATTTCTTTATTCTTCACCGTGTGCAATTTTTTAGTCAAAGTTTTCAATGGAGGCGAACATCAACGCCTTGCCTGATCTCGTTTTGCGAAATATATTTTCGAAACTTGACTCTGTCGATGTCATCAATTTGGCCTTCATTTGTACGCTATGGCGTGAATACCAGCTTGCAATAACCAGCAAAATGGACTCAATGATCATTGTTTTTGGCTCTGACGATCCCTTGGACTCCATTTCTAAATCACTCTTTACGATTCCTCATCTCGAGGAAGTTCTGGATGAAGCAAACAGACCAATGCATACACCGCAAAGTGGAACTAAAAAATCGCGTCTATCTTATCTATCTTCTCCGTCGCACGCAGTCAGAGACCAGATTATAAGCGCATATCCACTCTTGACAAAGTTGCAAATCGTCATTGACAACATCAAGTTTTCCGAAGTTGCCGATTTTTTCGTCGAAGTTATGCAAAGCTGGTCTGAGAAACTGACGACTCTTGAAGTCTACTACCGGAGCAAGGAAATTAGAGAGCTTGCGAATTCTGAGGATTTTGACTATTGTGCTGAAGTGGAATCTTCACAAGCAATCATGAGCATGATTAGCTTTTGCTATTCCTTGAAACATCTCACAGTTGATTGTGATACATATTTTTTTCGGAAAAAGCCAAAACGCATTTTTGATTTGATCGGAGATTTGCCCCCTAATCTCAGCACACTCAAATTTAAATCCCTGGATTTTATTGAAGGAAGACATTTGGAAATACTGTATGAGTATCTAAAAGACAACGATCAACTTGAACAATTTGCTCTGTTGAACAGAACCTCAGAAGCAATGGACAGTCCTAAATGGCTTCGTTTTTCTTCCAAGTGGACTACTAAACCGGCCAATGTTCGGTATTGGAATGAAAGCAAGTTTTCAACATTTCCGTCGCTCACTTCAGTAGACATCAATTATCATTGTGGTCTTGATTTGGTTAAGCTTCTCAACTCGTTGTCTCCTCTCAAAGAGCTCATATACCTGCGCTTCACACTAGGCTTGAAGGAAGATGTTGCTGCCTCTCATTTGGAATTCTCAAAGTACGAGTCTTTCTACTGTTCGGAAATCAACCCACTGANAATGAAAGCAAGTTTTCAACATTTCCGTCGCTCACTTCAGTAGACATCAATTATCATTGTGGTCTTGATTTGGTTAAGCTTCTCAACTCGTTGTCTCCTCTCAAAGAACTCATATACCTGCGCTTCACACTAGGCTTGAAGGAAGATGTTGCTGCCTCTCATTTGGAATTCTCAAAGTACGAGTCTTTCTACTGTTCGGAAATCAACCCACTGACTGCTGTCAAAGTGCTAAAGTTGAAGTTGCTAAATCTGCAATATCATTTCGATGTACAGTCAACCATTTGGAGTCGCGCTTTTCCCGAAGTTCAAGTAATTATCATCAAGCACAAGTGCGTTAAATATTGCCAACACTACCGAAACATGCAGATAAAAGCCGAGTATATGGACGACAATCAAATCACTGAAAGCATTCGTAAGATGATCAAAACGTTTAAACAATGCCCAAAACTTCGGTGTATCTACACCAACTATCCAGCTAAAAGGCGATGGGAAGTTTCAGAGCTTAAGTAAACAGATAGTTCAATCTTCGGNAAATATTGCCAACACTACCGAAACATGCAGATAAAAGCCGAGTATATGGACGACAATCAAATCACTGAAAGCATTCGTAAGATGATCAAAACGTTTAAACAATGCCCAAAACTTCGGTGTATCTACACCAACTATCCAGCTAAAAGGCGATGGGAAGTTTCAGAGCTTAAGTAAACAGATAGTTCAATCTTCGGGAGTTTATATAGTGGAAAAAATGTTTATGTAGATTTCTATAATGCACATTTTGATAAAAAGATAAATACAATTCACCTTTGTTTGACCTATCAATCAAATCATTACCCAATTTGATTGCTTGTTCTCTCCAGATGCTCNGAGTTTATATAGTGGAAAAAATGTTTATGTAGATTTCTATAATGCACATTTTGATAAAAAGATAAATACAATTCACCTTTGCTTGACCTATCAAATCATTACCCAATTCGATTGCCTGTTCCCTCCAGGTGCTTCTTTCTCATGATGATATGCCCATAATCTGCCCATAAGTATCTATGCAACACTTAAAATGATATTTAAAAATGTCTGATTAAGATACTCTAGTGCGTCGCGGATTTGTATATAATTTCTCGGATTGCAATGAGCCATCTTTCAGTGAAAGAAACAGTTTTAATTAAAAATTACAGTTGGCTGATGACTTTAACTTAAAGTTAAAGATGAAGTTTCTTTTTATACTGTTCACCCTAATTGCTCTGGCAAACAGCTCCCATGCAAACTCCTACTTCTCCATCGACACTTCCGGTAATGTGAAGCCGTACTCAAAGACGCACTTCCAAGAAGGAGCATTCGCTCATGACATTNAAGTTAAAGATGAAGTTTCTTTTTATACTGTTCACCCTAATTGCTCTGGCAAACAGCTCCTATGCAAACTCCTACTTCTCTATCGACATTTCCGGTAATGTGAAGCCGTACTCAAAGACGCACTTTCAAGAAGGAGCATTCGCTCATGACATTGTGGCCGTGGCTCGTTTTGCAAACCGAATCAACGCCACTGGCTGGTCTGAGTTGGACCTGCAGACGAATGCCGCCCACGCCGACCACATTCAGGCGTACTACGCGGGCATTCTCGAGGGCTTTCTTACGGCAAACCTCATTGACGACTTCCGAACGAACATTGAGCTTGCCAAACCACACGACCAGTCATCGGAGACGTGCCAGGTTTTGAAGCACTTCATTTCGGAGAATTTGCATTACCTAAAAAAGAACCTCGACAATGGCAGCGTCTACTGGCAGCAGGTTGGACTGGTCCTCTACCAACTGGCCGGTCTGGATGATGGCTACGATGCGGCGAAGGGCATCGCAGCAAATCGGAGCCCCAGCAAAAAGCCACACTTGAACCTTGATCCATGCAACTCCTTGCTGCTCAACATGTACCCCGAAGTGGGCGATATAGTGGAGATTATAATGCATTCAAAGAAGCAGAGTCAAGATGAGGTGGAAAGTGATCACTGCTCGGCGATCATCAAATGGATTCCAGAGAAGGGAGAAGTGGTACGTTACTATCACGTCATCACTATCAAAGTGCTACTTTTAGTTACTATTATTATTCCCTTTCCCCCTTTTCTCAGTTAGTGAGCCACAACACCTGGACGACCTATGTGATGATGGTACGACTGCTGAAGAAGTACACGCTAAACTACAAGACGAGCCAGGCAAAGGCCGTGTCCATGAGCTCTTATCCGGGAGTCATTCTCTCATTTGACGACTTCTACATCACATCACAGCACATGGTACGCATTTGCACTCTTTGTTCTCGCTAAATGGAGAGGAAAATTAGCCCAAATACTAAGCACCACTACTGTCTTTTACTGCCAGGTAATTCAAGAGACATCCATCAACAACTTTAATGGCTCACTGTGGAAGGGCATTAATGCATCGGGCATTGTGCTTGACTTCATGCGAAACACCATCTCCAACCGACTGGCTCGAAATGGCAGCGAATGGGCCGACGTCTACTCGCGCCACCAGAGTGGCACCTACAACAATCAGTTCATGGTGGTCGACTACAAGAGGATGGGAGAAGGGGGCAAGCAGCTGCAGGACGGCTTTCTCACCGTCCTCGAGCAGCTGCCCACGCTGATCGTCGCCCGCGACCAGACGGCGGTCCTCCGTCGACAGACCTACTGGTCCAGCTACAACGTGCCCTTCTACGGGGAGATCTTCAGCAAGGCCGGCTACGAGGCAATGGTGGCCAAGTACGGCGACTACTTCTCTTACAACATGACCGCCCGGGCGCGGATATTCCGCCGTGAGCAGAGCAGTGTGACGGACATCTCCTCGCTGTTCCGCCTGATGCGTCTGAACAACTTCAAGACGGACCCGCTGTCTCGGTGTGAGCAGTGCAGCCCAGTGCCCAACGCCTACTACGCCATCGCCTCACGCGGTGACCTCAACGACCCCAACGGAAAGTATCCAATGCGTGGTCTGGGCGAGCACCTGATGGGGGCGATTGACGCGAAGATCACCTCCAGCGAGCTGTCCGCCCACCTGGAGATGGTCGCCGTCGGTGGGCCCACCCACCTCAATGAACCGCCCTTTGACTGGAGGAAGGTGCCGGTGAAGCAGCGGAACACAGTGCACCAGGGCCAGCCAAGTGAGTGGAATTTTGCGCCGGTGCACACGCAGTGGAGCAACATCAGCGACGCAATCGGAGGCTTCCACCACTTTGCTGTCACTGTGTAGGACAACAATTTAAAGTCGAGCATTTTTAGCTCACCACTGAACACAATGCATTCACAATAAAAAGGGATTTCTATCTACATTAGCATCACAAAAAGGGCGTTCGCTCCGGCTGCGCAATCACCTCATTGATTTATTGCCGGCATTTTTGTTGTTGTATAAGCATTTATACACTTTTTAGTTTTCAAAATCATGTCAGCCTCTTTGAAGAAGTCAGCCACTCGAAAGTCACTACCGGAAATCAGTGATGATGATCTGCAGAGCGCCCTAAGCTGGCAGCAAATTCAGCTACTTTTCTGGGACATTGACAATCTGGAGGAGCTGTACAAGGGCGCCGTGGCCAAGTACAACTTGGGCAGTGAAAAGGCGACGCGATTGCTCACTCGGGCGAATGTTTCTCTCCAAAGACTGGACGAGTGGGCGTCACAGGTGCTGTTGAACAACTCGGAGCTCAATCAGTTTGCAGTGTACCGGAAGATACTCGAAACACTGGCGTTTAATTTGGCGGACTACCTGAGGGTTAACTTAAAAAATTGACCAACTTTGTTGGGTTAGAGCAATAAACTTTTGTTTGATGCATTGATATAATGCAATTAATAAAACTGATTTGAAATATCACCTCACTGACCAGTACTGTGCATGGCGAAGCTCAAGTTACCCAAAAGCCAAGTTCCAAGTTTGGGTATTTACCATTAGTGGCAACAAAAGATGCAATTTTTTTGGTGGATGAATAGAAGAATGAAATTGAAATCTGGTGGCTGTAAAAGGGCAATAATAAAAGAGCTATTAAGCGAACGGAGAGATCACTAGCACGCAGCAAGCATGCACAGCACTAAACAAATTACTTTCCTTAGAAAGGAGCAAAGAATGAGGCACTCTTTTGGCTTCATTCTTTCCCTCTGTATTTTGCCATTTTGTTGTTGTTGTTGTTGTTATCTTCTTCTGTTGTGTTCCACTGGTTTTGCGTAAGGTTAGCTTATTTAAATTGCACTTGAGCACATTACAAAGCGAATCACTTCTCCATATGGCTGCCAATAGTGCAAACAGCCTGTCTGCTTGTCGACACACAACACACCACAGACCCACACAATGCACAAGACATACAGCAACTAAACACGTTTACGTGAATTCCTTTCGTTGTAAATGAGATCTACTTGCTTGTAATTTAATTGCCGCCTCAGAGGTGGCACAAAAAAATAATTTGAATATTACACAAACACAGATTTTAAAAAGAAAAAATCAAATTAAATGGCACTTAACAATGGTTAACAGTTGGTGAAGTGAAAAAGCTATTTTGGTTATTTTGCAAATTAAAGTTGTCAAAGTTGTGGCACCTCAAGGCGAAAACGCATTACCTCTAGCATATTTTGGCACTGGAAGGCATTAGCAAGTTGATTAGGTTCAAACTGAAAGATATACACTTACTGGAAAAACTTAACTGGAAAAACCTAAAAGTTAATTTTGCCATATTTCATGGGGTTTCCTTTCTCTTCGTCTTTTATCTCCACTCATTAATTAGGTATTGAGTTTCAGGGTTGAGGCCAGGTTAGGTTTGTATTGTGTGATGCAAAAGAATGCCGTAGTATGGTCTGTTAAATGCGTTTATTTAAATTCCAGAGAACCACCCTGTGTCAAAATGCCAATTCAAAGTTGCGGCTAACCTTTCATCATTATAATTAGTTGTAATATATAAAAAATCTGTTTAATTGCAGAATCTCAGAAGTTGATTTTGCTCTTTTTACATTGCCGAAGAAAAAAGTTTCTGAACTGTTTTTGAAACAAAAACCTAATTATGCTCTAATTAGTTTGAGCTTTACGCAGAGCTCACCGATGCGCGATGGTTCAAGTGAAACTATAAAATAAAGCACAAACTAACAGAAAAACAAGATATTCATCTTTCTTCATGTGTTTGACGTCAATTTCAAAAGTTGCTTCTTTTGTAGAAAAAATGCAAGGCAGAGAATCCCAATTTAGCAAACCAAACACAGCAAATACAAATCAGAAGAAAATATTTCAGATAATGCCAGCATACCTTTCAAAAAGCAAAGTCACGTACACTCTTTTACTGTAAAATGCAAATGCCAAATTGGTGTATTTTGTTTCAAGATAAAGGTAAACAAAGATGCTTATAATAATATTTTTCAAAAACATTTACTAAACTTTTTTTTGAACTTTTTATGTAAAAAGTAAATAAACAAATTGCCATATTTTTTCAAAGTAACAACTTTTTTACTAAATAGGCATTGAATATCAAAGAAAAGTTTACTCAATGAATAGGAAAAACAGTCGCCACCATAATGTAATTGATTAATAATTGATTGATTTATTGTTATTATGGTGATTGATTACTTCAGTTGGCAACTAAAACAAATGAAAAAAAACACACTGCATTTACTTGACCACATAATATTTTAAGGGGGGACACCGCGCAGTTTTTGACTGCTTTTTCGAATTTTGAT